ATCAAATTCATTGTTCATATTTAAATTAGTAGTAATAATGCTATACTATGAAACATAATTTTTCCAATACTTCTCAATTATTATTTTCCTTGAAAGATACTCTTAATTTACATTTCATAATTTAACTAATCAATAGATATATGGATTGAAATCCGAGTGTATAGGTTTAATCTTGTTTAATTATAAAAGATCAAATTCATTGTAATAATATTAAATCAGTAGTGGTAATGCTATTATAACGTTTAAGCTTTCTTTATAAATGATCTTTTCCCCCATTGCTCCGAAGAAATAAGTGGATGTAATACACAAATAAAGTAAAGAAGAAAACAGTTTGAAAATTCCTTCCATCCCTACGATTGATTTCACGTATGTAAGATTTTATCTAAGATTATATTTTTATGTATCTGACACGTATCAGATACACGAACACTTTCTGATTCACCAGAACCATCAGGTGGATCCGATGGAAAACGCGATAACTCTGGAAAGCGTATGGAAAATCGCTATAAGGAAGCGGTATTCTTTTTCCAGTTATTTTAATGGAAATTGAAAAAGGTTACGTAATGATCGTTAGAGAAGGCGATCGCTGTTCGTAGCGATGGTTTTTGCCGGTGAAATCTCAGGATTCGGAAGGAAAGAAAGTATCAATGATGGATTAAGAAGAAGATCGATTTTTTTCTTAAAAATGATTTATATTTAAATCTAACGGAATTAAGATTCTATTTACTTTTTTTATTCGAAAAATTTCTCGATTGTTGTGGATTTGTTAAAATTTGTACTCGATATTATCTACTTTATTATTTCTCGACAAAAATGAGAAATGCTTTCGATCTGTCGAGAATTATTTTTTAATTTTTTCTTCGAACAAAGAAGTTTTCGAACAAGTTGTAAATATTTGTCCTTTTATCATACGATGTTTGCATAGGATAAGATAGCTTTCGATAATTGATTGTAAATGTGTCAATTAGCATTTTCGAGGAATGCAATTCGAGAAACGAAGGCATGTGTAAAACCCTGTAAAAGCCGTGTACAAGCCAGCTGTGACATTCCAATAACAGATACCTGAGAACCGAGGATTTTGAACAGGTTTTTGGTAGACCATGCTTGAAAAAAATATGAGACAGGATCGATTGCATTTCTCGATTAATTGAAGAGGAAACATGTGTTAACATGGATTATTTGTCAAGTGTCTGAAAAATAGTTGACAATTTTAATAATGTATTTCGAAAGAAAAATTAAAACAATCATTTAGTCGTTCGTTTATCGCTCGTTTTAAATCAAATGTTCTTCTAACAGATCCTCTGAAATTTTCTTTTCTATTTTTTGGTTGTAAAATTAAAAAACACTTATTCTTTCTCTTTAAAAAAAA